CTTCCGGGTGAGTTCCACAAAGTCCTCTTCATCCCATCTCAAGCATTTTCACAGTGGCCAATAAGAAACCCAAACACGTAAGAAGAACTGCAAGACCCGCCAATAAGAAACACAAATATGTATGAACTCTAAGATCCGCCGCATTAAAATTGAAAAGCTCAGGGCACACTGAACAGCAGAGCTCTTTAAATGTAAAATAATGATTGAAACTTGAATTTTCATGGGGAACAAATATTTGTACTGTTCTGCAGAAGATACCAAAATGACTTTTAGCCTCTCTTATATGTGGATGGTGGTGGTCTATCATACTGACTTGAGAAAAGTCTTATAAAAAGATTGTCATCTTTTTGCTACATGGACTGGCTAAAATTATTTAAGGGTGGTCACAACTCCGCAAAGAAGAGGCCATTACATTCCTTTTTCTTTTCTTTCAATCTGGACAGTTTGTCACTGATGAAACGCATGTAATATTCTGAATGAAATAAAGCTGATATGAACCAGCACCCCACTGCAATTTACTTTAGTAAATTTCCTTCTAAAGTTACAATTATCAAAAGGAGGAAAGAAATAGCACTAATCCTTTCTAAATTACACTGAAATCTCACTTAGAGCCCCACATACCTGATTTTGATTGCAGGCATAGCCATCTTGTTTATGGAGATTTGGCGGGCACTGAAAAATATTATCTTTTTAGTTGATGTGCAGTATATAAAATGCCTTTCAGAAAATGCATTTAATATATAAAAATGAGTGGGAGAGTAAAGGCACAATTAGGACCATTTAGAAAAACACACAACTCCATTAATAGGTTGTTTAACTTAATTCTATCATTACTAAAATGAATAAATTCATGCTTCTCTGTTTACCGGGAGATGGGCTAAACAACAAATAACATTCACTTGGCAAAAAGCTACAAGCAGAAGGGACGACAATGGGCAGCGAAGGCAGTGAATCAGCTGGCTGTGTAGGAGTGGACACATTAAGAACTAATTTGCAAGACCTTTCCAAGCTCCTTGTAAATGTCAAATCTGCATGTGACATGGTGACAAGTGCCTATGGGACACTTTGCAGAAGCAGAAGAAACAGTCTTGAACCACAACGCAATCAATGTAAGTGCTGTACCACTGTGACATCTCTGACCTCTCAAACCACAGACTTGTACTAGAAAAATCTACGGAGAAGTAGGGTTTTTTTTTTTTTTTTTTAGCAAAACTATCTATCACACCATTTTAAAGTGCACTTCATTTTACCCAGAAGTTATCCAGAATAAGTGAAGTTACACTTTTTACACAGTTGAGAGACTGCAGAAACAGTCAGGTGCCGGAATGTTGAAAGAGAATATGAGACAAGGAGTAAGTAACATAGGGAGACACATGGAGGTTCTTCCTCGTTCCCTATTTTCTCAGCCAATGGCTTTTCACCCTAACAATGGCTCAGGCCTCAATCCAGAGCCTCCATCCTTCTTCATCAGCAGCCCCCCCCCCCCCCCCGCGTTGGTCTTTTCATCTCACACACACCATCCAGTGTGACTGCAAATCCTCAGATTCAGTTCGAAAGCATCAACTCTTTCCCACAACGTCTACCATTTAGTCCCAGGTCTAGGCTGCCATCATTCGAACCTGTATTATAATCTCCAACCCAGGCCTCCCTGCTTACACTCCGGGTTCGCTGTACCGCTCCCAGAGAGATCCCTTAAAACATAAACACCAAATCATGTTGGTCCCCTGCTTAAAAATTCTGAATCTCGTCCAAGTTCCACGCGTCTGCCTCTCCCATCCACACCCCATTATCTCCCTGACCTCATTTCCAGCTCTCTCAATAGTTGATGGGACTCCTATGATACGCCAGGCATGCTGCCAGCCCACTGCCTGACTACAGCAAGGCTGACGCCATCTTCTCTCTGGGGGTTCCGCTCAGCCATCACCCTCCCAAAGAGCCTTCTCTAAACCACGTTCTTTAAGGCGGCCGCTCCCTCCCATGCTGTCATTCTCTGTCCCCCATTTCCTACATGCTCCTTCTGTACCACACCTACCACCAACTGACAATCCATATACTTCCCCTGTCGGCTCACTTTCCGTGCCCACAATTACACGGGCTCCGTGCAGGCAGGGTTTTCTGGGTGCTTTTCCTGCGGCACAAAGCGACACCGGGCTGCGGTGGGCGCTCAATTACTACCAGCCGACTAAGAAAATGAATGGAGCACCCATACTGGTAAAATGGAGTTCTTTTTAGGCCCCACACCTAGGGCGGTGCATTGAGCTCGTCACAGAAGGATGAGGACTCATGCAGCATTTCCCAGGTGCAATGATACACTCCAGGACACTTTGCAAAAAAAAAAAAAAAGCAAGTCAGTTTTACATCTTCCTAAAGGCCGGAGCCCCTGACGGTTTTATCCACCGTGACTTTTCGATCCGCCTGGTGCTGACTATCTTAGGGAGGTTTTGATTGACACTAACACAAACTTTACAGAAGCAGAGGTCCCTGTGGCCTCTTCCATCTCCTCTGAATTCCCTCAGAAAACAATCATTATCTCGTTAATCAACGATCATCAATTATTCACTTACCCCAAAACCAGTACAACCACAGCAAATAGAAATGGGGAGAGGGGGAAAAGGCATCCCAAGAACAGGTACATCACCTTTGTGACATCTTGAGAAGGAAAGGAAAGGAAAAAAAAAACAAAACAAAAACAAAAAACCTGGAAGACTGCTCTACACACACACACACCACACACACACACACAAAATAGCCCTCATTATAAGCTGTCACAGCTACAAGTGAGGCGACTTCTAATCAATCTGCTTTTAGTTTAGGCTAAGGAAAGCCAGTTGTTGAGACAGGTGTGGCAGCGCACACCTGCTGTGGTGATCTGGATGAGAACGGCCCCATGGGCACACAGATTTGAATACTCGGTCCCCAGTTGGTAAAACGGTTTGGCTCTTCTATAATTTGTCTCAGTCAAGGGATTTGTCACGGCAATCACAGCAATAGAAAAGTCCCTGAGACACTTGGAATCCCAGCAGTCAGGAGGCAGAAAGCAGGAATGGAATGATCCTGGCCAGCCTGGGCTGCAAAATAGGACCTTGCCTCAAAAAAAAAAAATCATTAAGGGCAGTTGCTCATCACTGAAATATTTAATGGGAAATTTCCGAGTCTTCTTTCATCCTCCCAGGGTGTGCAGAAGAGGAGTAAATCTAGACCTCTCCTCTCGGAGTAAAACTCTGGAGCACCACTGCACCCCAGATTCACCTGGGATGCCATGCAGAAAGTGGGGTGGCGGCAAGGGTGAGGTGGGGGGAAACAGCTTGACCACACAACTGCCATGACAGGTTTAGAGGCCCAGACACAGCCTCTGTAACAGGCTCACTGGCAGGTAACATGCAGAATCCAGAAAAAGCCATGAGCGAACCCACCCAGGGGAGGGCCTGCATCTAAGGGGAAATGCTTGACATTCCAAACATTCCCTATATGGGATTGGGTCTCTGTGGTTGTCTTTTGGGGGGGGGGGGGTCCGCGTGATTTGGGCATCTATGAATCTAGAAGATTCACCTGAAGCGGTTTCAATGGTGCTTATTTTAAATTATGGAATACCCCCACTAATTATTAGCACTTGCTGAGACCATTTCCACAGCTTTCAAATATCTTTGTTATGTCGCTGTATTGTTTGCCGAGGATTTCTTTCAGTGGCTCGAGTATTGATTGCTCCATCATAAACTGTGCAACGAAAAAGAAAAACGTTCAACACAGCTCTCAACGAGGTGTCTCCATCAAATCCCTCCCCTCAGAGCTCAGGGAACTCAACAGAAGAGAAGAAGGCAGAGGGGGTGGGGAAGACAGGGCCTGGAGGACATCAGGGGAACAAGGCCCTCGAAAACAACTGAGCAAGGCTCATCTGAACTCAGAGACTGAAGGAGCAAGCACAGGGCCTGCACAGGTCTGCACCAGGTCCTCTGTGTATACATTATAGCTGTCAGTTTAGCACTGTTACAGGATTCCCAGATGTGGGAAGTCTCTGATACCTGGGCCTTCTCTTGGAGCTCTTTCTGTTGGCTTGGCTTGTCCAACTTTGATATGATGGTTTTTGTTTTATCTTATTTTATTTTTTATGTTTTAAAAGAAAGAAAAAGGAGTTCAGAGATATCAGTAGATGCTAATATAAAAATTAACTAAAAACATGAAGTCAAAAAGACAAGGGCATAATACAGCCATGGGATGCAGAGATTCTATTTTCATAAAAACTCTGAATATCAATAAATTCAAAATCCATTGTCCCTTACAAAATAGAAGAAAATATTATGGTTTTTTTGTCCTTCTATATCGACCACCTACTTTGGGTTCATTCTGATGATCAGATTTTAAAATTACTAATAAAATAACATTCTATTCTAACGTGCCATTGAAAGATGAATTTAACGGTACGGTTTCCACCAAAGATACATGAGGTAAAAAGAAAAACAATTGCATTTCTTAGATAATAAAATAGGTTGAGCAAAGAAGCCCTATTTTATTTTACTTGTGTATATATGTGTGTGTATAGTGTATGAACACATGTGTATTGTGGTGTGTGTGTGTGTGTGTGTGTGTGTGTGTGTGTGTGGTGTGTATGTGCACACCCAACTCCATGTGTGCCTGTGGAGATCAGAGGTTGACACTGGGTATCTTCTTATCACTCTCCACATCTGTGTGCTGGTACAGGGTCTCTCACCTGACCTGGAATCCACCAGTTCCGATTAGCTGCTCAGGAATTCTCCTGTGCCTGCCTCCCACGCTGAGATTACAGGCCTGTGCCACGACATGGGCTTTCATGGGGATGCTGGGGACCCAAACGCAGGCAGGCCCTCAGGCTTGCACAGGAAGCCTTTTATCCACCAAACCACTCCCCAGCCCCAGCATCCTCATTCTAAAAACCTCATTTCCAGTAAACTCCACGGCAATTCAGGAATTAAAGATTGAAAGTCTTCTAAGAAGACTGAACGTGAGAGCCAAGGGCATATACTGCAGTTACGAAAATAGTAATAGTCTGTAAAATTAACAACTCAATCAAATTGTATGTCAGGATTGTTACACTTGTGAAAGATAGAATCCACAGTTCTTGCACTGTCATGTGATCATTAAAAAAGAAAGAACGAAGCACACACACACACACACACACACACACACACACACACACACACACACACACACTAGCTCAGGAAAGCCTACTGAAGACCCATCAGAAAGAAAATGAAGGTCAAACGAAATCCCAAATCCTTCCTGTGGCACACAGGTCCCACCAGCCAGAACCCTGGCATCCTTTGGAAACATTTTGTACTAAACTTCAGCTCTGCCTTTTATACTGCGTCCATGGAAGCCATGCCTCTGCAGCTGCTGTTTGCAAACTAACTCCTAACTAACACAGCTCCTGCAATACCCTCTCCTCTAACCTAATGTCCCACCACACTCTTCTCTACACAGCACCTTACTGTATACATACACCTATCTCTATATATTTAACTTACCTGCCTCGCTACACACAACAGGACCTAAGTTTCACTTAGAGCAAGGACTCAACAATCATGTTGCCTTCCACATCCTGGCATTTACAGCAGTACTTGGCAAGCAACTCAACAGATGTTCATTTGAATGGCAAATAAGGACATAAAATAACATGTTATAAATTTTAAAAAAAAGCTGCAAAAATTATACAAAAAGGGATTCAAGAAGTCAATATTAATTACAGCGTTATAACCACTTTAATGGACCAAAGTCATGCCAAAGCACAGAGGCCGAGAAGCAGGACCGTAGGGGACACTGGCAGCTGGCAAGGAATTAGAAGGTCTGCTGGCTCCTGGTCTCCTACATCAGCTCCCTTCCAAAACTTGTTTAAAAAAAAAAAAAGTGTTCACAATGTTTGAAGACAGCATATAAGGTGTGGGGGGCCTAAGGAAAAAGGTTTATGAGTTGAGTATAAATCGTCTAAAAATATTTATGAAGGGGAAATTTAGAAAAAAGAGACAAGAGATGAAAATCCCCAAATACTACACCAGACTTCCTGAAGTAATATATAGTATGGGAGAGAGCTAAAAACACCTAGAAAACAAAGCCAAATAAAGAAACCAAAACAGGTCCACACATGCAGCCTTTATCGGAGGAATTAAAATATGCACCGCACAAGAGAGGAGCTCAGATGCAGTTTTCCATACCTGGCCAGAGTCTCCAGTGCAGTATTCCGTGATATCACAGCTGTTTACAGCATCCCGACATTCATACCCGCGTGACTGAAACTGCAAACCAACACCCAGCGTTAGGAGCTAGTGTGAACTGATTCTCCACAAAGAATCACTGATTCACTGACAGTCCTGTGCTTTCTCACAATCATTACAATTTAGTAAAATTGTTGAAGGTTAGAAATGAGGCTCAGATGCCCATCCTACACCGAAGAGGAGCATCAGACAGGCACTGCGTGGAGACTGCAAAGCCCACTGTCTCCACATATTAAGAAAACAATGTGATGAAAATTATGTAAAGAAGACACACTGGTTTAGCTTAACACAAAGGAACGAAACACTGTCATTAAACATTCAAGATTTCTCTGAAGGACCGATATGCATACATACCAAACCGTCACTAATTTGTCCATTAGTGTATTAATCTTGCTTTAGATAAATACATGCAACAAATTACAGTGGATTCATATAAATCATCGTCAGTGTGTCCATGACTACCTGTGATAAATAAAACATTCTGTTTGTCTGGCAAAGAATGGGTGAATACGAAGTCTCAATTAGCCTCAAGCAATTTATCATTTGGTAGGTGATGTAAAGCAAGCACAAACTAGGCTGGAATCTTCTAGCATATCACGACATAGAACCTCCACTGTTATTAAAAAAGTAATAAAGTTGTATAATTTTATAGTTATCAGAAATGTCATGAATCTGATATATGAGAAAAAGGAGTATTAAAATGACTTTTCAAAATTAACTGGCAGTCACTGTAAGTGGAAGACTATACACACATTCTCTCTCTCTCTCTCTCTCTCTCTCTCTCTCACACACACACACACACACACACACACACACACACATGCATGCACACTTGTGAACATATATAAGTACTTCCTCATCTGGCTTTCTTGACTTTACAAAAGATTCAGAAAGCCAAATGGGAGATAAAAGGACTAGTGTTTCTACTGTGAGTCTAAAACAAATTAGGGTAAGTTTTGAAAAACAAATGTTGGACGTAAGGTCTTATAATTTAAAAGACCAACCGAATTGTTCGCCTCTGTCTGATGATTTAATCTGTCCATCTGTGTTAACAGAGCAACTTGGAGGATGTACAGGTACACCCTCTAGAGGAAGTAGGGGAGAGCAGGACAGTGGAGTGTGGATAACAGAGAAGATGCCTGCTATGACCCACAGAAGTTGGGTATAACTATTGATTCTACAATATCACTGGGCTAACAGGCAAAAACTTGTATTACGTTTATTCAAAAGTTCAACAGACACACGGAGATGGTTGGCTCATTTGTGAATGAATGAGAGGAAAGATGAAATTTCCAAGGGACTCACAAGACACGAGGTATTGTTGCAGCAGGGGCCATCACTGCAGTGCGCCCCGTTGGAGAGCGAGCATTTCTTACAGCAAACTCCGTAGCATTCCTAGAGAAAGAAAACACTCCTGTGAGCACACCAGGAACATGCTGCTGCCGCTCATTCAGCATTCCCTCCATGTGTAGCTTATGCATCAGATAACAAGACTTCTATAAACAGTACTAACATTTTAGGAAGGAATCAATCACTTTAAATGATGACAGACTCCAGCCACATTTCTCAGCAGACTGATCTCCCATCAGTATGATTATTCATTAGCAGGCACCTCTCCCCCCACCTCCCCGCACTGCCAAAACACAAACACCTCTATAACTCTACCATTCTACCATGTTCTTAATACCTGGGTTTACTTTTATAAAGGAAAAAAATAACACACAGCATAGGAAAGCATTCTGTAGAAGGTGCCCGAGATGAATATGAGCTCTGAATTAACTTTGTAAAGGTCAGGGATTTGATTAGAACAATCCATTAGGCTTTTCAGACAAGGCTGTAACGACAACATGACTAATTCTTACGTGTCTGAGCTGGGATGAAGCATTGATCATAGCGATCAGGAAAAAAAGAAAAGAATAAGGCAGTGACCCCATGATGGATGATAGCATGGCTGCTCGCTACTCTTGTCTTGTTAACTCAGAGGATGAACCGCACTAAAAGTAAAGACATTCTCTTATACCTACCACATGGAAACCACAATCGCATTCCTCCCCAGCCTCTACATATCCATTTCCACACTCTGTGGGCTCAAACAGCTGAAAGAGATTGGAGAATGCAAAGAGAAGCATTTGAATTTATCACAGAAAATCCACACACCAACCTGGCCATATGCACAGCTATGTTTCCGCTGTCATATGATTCTTCTATGATTTATTATTATTTTCTATTTCTTTTTATTTATGTATATGTGTGTAGTGATGTAAAGGTATGCACACAAGCACATGGGTAGCCACAGAGGCCAGAAGAGAGCACTGGGTCCCCTGGAGCTGGAGTCACAAATGATTGTGAGCGGTGCAGCATTGTGCAGAGACGCAAACTCCAGTCTTCTGAAAGAGCAGCAAGTTCCCTTAACTGCTAAGCCATCCTTCCAGACCCCTGACTTTTTACTATGACATCTTATATATATTGTGTGTGGAGGGGAAATACTATTCACTTATTAATAACACTCTTAAAAACATGTTAGAAAGGGGGATCTCTGGAGATTTCCTTAGTGGGGTCCCAGGAGACGACCTTAAGCATTAGAGTGACGTTTTATGGAGATAAGCCGTCAAGAGAAATGGATCACTTCCCATGTTTTCTAATGGGGCTAAAATGTATTACTAATAAGACTCATAGATATCTAATTTGCTGACTTGACTGAAGGCAGCTGAGAAGACATCAAAACTGTCAGAAAGATAAATATGTTTAGTCAAAGCCAAGTGTGAGATATACAACCAAGGAAATGCCAATAAGCTTAGAACAATGTTGTCAGAGATTCAAAGCCATCACACTCATCGGAAAGAAATGTGCATTGTCTGGCACAAAGTCCCACCATTGTATTTCTTGAATTACCTGTGAGCAGAAACAAAATGAATCCAGTAACTTGGGAATTTTGCTAAATTAAGTATTGCGAATACTCAATCTCTTAATACCCAATTTAGTTTCATGAAGAAAAAAATTAATGTATAGACATGTGAACGAAAACACAGAATTCTCTCAGTCATTGCTGAGGTCATAACAGAGGCAAGTTTCTAGAATATCTTCCCCCCCCCCCCAGTGATGCCATGAACTTGTTTCTGGATGAAAATATTGTAGACCAATTGTTGGGGAAGTTGATTACTTATGACAAATGTGTCTATTTCCTATTGGAACAGGATTTCTCTGGGTACGATGACCACTTTTGGGTGTGTGTTGTGGGGAGCTGGAACAGCACATCCCAACCACAAATGCTCAAATCTGTGAACAAGAGAGGAAGAACCTGCCCCCAGCAGCCATACACACTGTGGACAACAGTTACCTTCCACTTAGTCTACCCAAGAAAGACCTGGTTCTACTACTTCCAGGAAGAAACGATTATAAAAAGCAAGAAAAGTTTCCTGCCAAGCTGGATGGGAGTCAATAATGCTAATCTCCATGCTACTCTGATTGGCAGGCAGGAGATAATAGAAAGGGCCAAGGCTGCTAAAAAATAACCAACACTTCCCGTCTTTTCATTCTTGGTTCTTTCCCCTTCCTGAGATGGGTCACCATCTCAAACCAGCTGGAAATCACAGCAATTGGGAAGATTTCTAAAGCACAGAAAATATGCATACAAACTGAAAATGACAAGCAACACATGCCTATGCATATATTCACTGACTAAGAACACTAGGGAGAAAAAAAATAGTTCTTTGACATATACATATAAACTATTCCACTGCGATCCACGGGGCCTTCTTTTTTAATCACTGTAACTTGTAGTTTAAAAGGAGAAATTATCCTTCTGAAATTGAATATGTAAACACTTTGTGTGTGTATGTGAAATTCCCAAGTTACCGGGATATAATTTTCTTCCTGCCATAGGAAACCTGAGAAAAGCAATGGTTGGACTTTGTGTATCTCCTAGAAACCTTAACCGGCCCCAGACAAGCGAGTGCTGTTTCCTCAAGCACCCTGCTTACAATCAGCTGCCGTCGGCAAGGCAAGGTAACACTAACCATGCACTGTGTGATTCGAAACTACCAGCAGTCCACATTAGGACTTCATCACAGATCTCACTCATTTCAAATGCCTGGAAGCCTTCTGGTTTCTGTGCCTGGAGGTGATGGCCAGGAAAGGCCTTCAGCCTATTTTAATGGCGCAAAGTCACTTTAAAAAGTCTCAATTCCTTTTTCTGGGATTTACAGAGCTTTTATTTCACTGAGCTTTTACAGGGATGTCAGATCCCAGGCTTCCATTCCCTGACCCAGCTGTATTCCTCAGCTCGGGGTAGGTATGGAATAAATTAGTCTACCCGTTGTTTACCTTAATCGCCTTTTTTTTTTTTTTAAGAATAGGTCACCATGATATTGCCACTCTTTAAATTTGTAGAGTAGCGAACATTTTCTATACAAATGAACTCTGTCTGACTCCTGAGGTGTATTGTAAAGGAAAAGTGAATTTTTTTTCCATGTTCAGATTCCACTACCATCTGCTAATAGTGCAGATACGGTCTTTTCAGCTGCTGGCCTGCTTCATTTCCAAACATGCTCCTATAAAAACACGGGGCCTCGTGCAAAGGCTTTAGCCTGTCAGTTTGAGAATTCTGTCTTTGGTGAACTTTCGCAAAGAATGATGACTGGCCATGTTCAATGTCAAGGGGACTGAAGCACATCCTATAATCAAACCATTTCATGCTTCCACAGCAAGACATAAATATTTACATCATGAGGACTGAATGAAGACTTTCAAAATTTAGGCAATTTTCTGTCAAATGTGTTTTCTGAAAACACCTAAAAACTTCTTCTGGAAATGTGTAGGGTTTTTTTTTTTTGTTGTTGTTGTTTTTCTTAATTTGTGGCTACAGAGCTGCAATATTGTTTATACATACTCCTGTGAAATGCCAGTGACTGCCTGGGCTGCCAGGGGAAGGGGACTATGTGGCAGAATTACTTATGGTACTTAGAGAATCTGTAAGTGTTAGACCAAAACCATTTTTGCGGGGGGTGGGGGGGGTAGGGGGGGGGGGGTGGGGGGGCTTGGCTGATATCAGTAATGCCTCCTTTCTGGGATCAGATCACTGTAGAAAGTGAAGGAGTTGGGGCTGGAGGTAGACGAGGCTCTCAGGAGGAGAGGAAAATTAAGCATCCAGAAAGAATGTCAGAGTTAAATGAGATTGTTGACAAAGAATGGATTCAAGAGAGTCCTTATCATTATAATTCCCCATCCCTTAGCAAAAAGGTGAAAACCCTAACATAAACATTGGGGGGAATTTTTGCATTTTGGGGGGCTTGTGGAGTCTGCAAGCAAGCACTGGACACAGATCCCCAATTTGATCTTTCACTCAGTCTTCAGCATTCAGAGACTTCCTATAGCGGAACATCTTTCCATGGTGGTTATAGTGGTTCCTACCTGTAATTCTAGCATTTGGGAGGCTGAGGAAGGGAGATTGCTTGTGACAATATATTAAACTGTGAGACAAAAGACCCTCTTTCTGAGAGAAATCTCTGATGTTTGGCACATTCTTACTGTTGAGCTTTGGAAAAAATAATTTTACTTTCTAAATTGCTAACCTTTGTTGGCCTGTTGAAAAGACAGGATCCGCCTCCTCTCTGTAAGAAGTCTCTGTATTCTGCAATGCTGCACTTGGAGAACTTTCGAGAATGGGATACCCTTAAGAAACAAAGAATCAAGGATGCAAACAATTTAACAAGAGCAATCATAAGAGAAGAAAATTAAGAACCACTGAATGCTCACTCTGGACATAGATGAATCTACACAAATATTGACAAGATGTATGGACCCAAATGGCTATGTTTATGGGGTGGAGTATGTAAAAGAAAGAAAAGGAAGAACCATCACAGAACCAGGGGCTTGCTTACTCCCTGGCTATCAACTCTCCTGAAATCTGTCTTGAAACACAGATCTGTCTTGAAATACAACTTGAAAGGAAATACAACCAAAGAACCTTAAATCAAAGATAGGTTTTAAAGTTTGATAATTTTTATTTATGATGTCTCAATAAAGACAGTTTTTTTTTTTATCCTGTTCTGAATAAAAGGGGTTCATCAACCTACTAGACCTTATTATTTTTTTTTTTGAAGAGGGAGTCAGGAGAGTCAATTTATTAAAGACAATGTTACTCAGGCTTCAACAATCCAAATTTTAAGTAAATGAATAAACCCTGAAGTATGTGCTGGATCATACATGCATATGTTATCAGTGTGTATGCCCACAGCAAAAAAGAATTAAGGCATGCTCCCATGAGCAATGGTTCTTTATTCTTCATTTCAAATACAATTATTGAGCAATATTCATGATTTAGCATGAATAAAAAATGAACCTCTCTGTAATTTATTCAATCAAATTAAGACCCCTATGTCAGCACACAGGGGAATAGCACGCATGCGTCAAGGTTAAGCTAAATCATACACGATGCTTCCTCGGGAATATCTGCAGTAGTGCCCAGGAGGAGAGGCCGTTCTAGGATATGATACAATAGTTTATGTATTCTGATACAGGAGGGTACTTGTGGGGTTAAAACTCACTTTTTATTGACGGTGATGTCTTACAAGGAATATATCAAATATATGTTTGAGAAAACATACATTAACTTCAAATAGTCTATTACGTCTTGTAAGCATTCAATCCAAAACTCATTTAGAAACCGACAGTTTAAGAGACAATAATATTGTCCTATGAAAGCAACATTACAAGCGGTACTGTTCTCTATGGCAGCTACAAACCCTGTGTTGTTATTATTACACAGGACTCAACTATGGAGCACAAGTCACGTGGCTGGGGAAGGGCAAGCCTCTCAAGACCAGACTGCATTTCTAGGAGTACATTCCGAAGTCGTGGGCAAGAGCGGCCAACTGCACATGCCTTCTCCTCTCCAGGGTCTGGTGGGAGGAGGCAGGGGCCCTGGAAAAGGAGGCGGTAACCAGTGCAGAATAAAGGTAGGACAAGAAACTGGAGCACACAGGTGTCTGGCCTGGACAAAGACAGTAAGAGACACCTCTCCCTCCGACTCCCAGTGGGCCACCTCTTAGGAGGCTGGGTGTCAGTGGCCTGCATAGTGCGGGACTCCTGTGCCAGCAGCCTGGTTCCAGGGCTCAGTACACTGATGCTGTGGAACAGCTGGTCTGGTTACCTAAGTGCCCACCAAGTAAAGACGGGGGAATTAATGTTGATGGTCCACCACTTGACAACTCTCTTGTTTAGGCATTACAACTCCAAATTAAAAGGAAAAAAAAAAAAAAGCTCTGTTGACTTTATAAAGAGTATACTATAAATTTATTACCATAAACATGTATTTATGAGTTCCTAAAAATGTAAATGGATGACTGAATTGATTTTCACTGACTGCCTCGGATAGACCATCTGCTTTTTACTCTAAGTATATTAAAAGATTAATGCCTCCCCTAAATGCAGAAGCTTTTAGTCATGTGACTCCTGTAAGGGTTAATAAATAGAAGTGGCTAATACATTTCGCATTTCTCCCCAACCTTAAATTAAAAATTAAAATATAAAGTGAATTAGCACTGTCAGTTTTAAAATACCAGACAATTAATTACTGAATTCATTCTAAGTGCCTAGCCTAAAAGACCAGTACCTGAGAGACTCTGCCTCTAATTATTATATATGCAGCAATTTTTACAACAGGCATACATCAAATGCGAGTGTGATGCAAACTCACCCTGTTTCTTCCATGATGCAGCCGCCCCAGGATTCTATGCACTCACATTCTAGCCCAATGAAACAATAAGAGCAGCGGAGGGAGGGCAGGGAAACAAAGTCACAGTTTCAGTTTGTACCAGCTCCTGCAAAAATTCCTCAATACCACTTTACATCAAAGACACACAGTGTCAAGACTCCTCTACTTTAAATCAATGGTTCCTTCTGCCTGGAGTATATAGGTTGCTTCCTAAGAAAAGAACTTGGGCCCCTCTTCGTTTTTTGTATTTCAGACATGTCAATTAGAGTCATAAAACCCAATGTGTATACAGTTAGAAGTATGACAGGCTAGAAACAAAAAGCTGAATTCTAGTCTACCACTAGGGAACAGGGTAGCCACTCAGCTTTTTTTTCTTTTCTCTTTCTCCCTTTCTCCCTTTCTCCCTTTCTCCCTTTCTTCCTTTCTTCCTTTCTTCCTTTCTTCCTTTCTTCCTTTCTTCCTTCCTTCCCTCCCTCCCTCCCTCCCTCCCTCCCTCCCTCTCTCTCTCTCTCTCTCTCTCTCTCTCTCTCTCTCTCTCTCTCTCTCTTTCTCTTTCTCTCTGTGTGTGGGGGTCTGCTTCTAAAATGGAAGCAGTGCCTCTCTGCCTATTTCCTACAGTGGCTCTAGGGTTGACCCAGATGGCATCCCTGGATGAGCTATAAGAATACAACACAATGTCACCAAAGTCCTTCAGACACAGGGCAGTTAAAGAAAGGAATTCAATTTGCTGGAGTCACTGCCGGGATCAGCCAGAGACTTGGAGAACAGCCATCCTGTGCTGCTACACCATCCAACCCATTACCATCTCTCAGCTGACCCCAGTACTGGCCTCCAGGATTTTCAATTATTGAACCTAGTGATTCTCCTTCCTGATTCTGAGCTACCTGGGCCAGGTCCTGAAACTAAGGTGGAGCAGCCACTTCCATGAGAGAGTAAATGCTCTGAGCAAGTTTATAGAGATTTGCAAAATGTGCGGGTGCCATCATGGCTGTGTGCTTGGTCATTAACGTACCCATAAAGGGAATCAAGCCTGCGGACACAAGATGCTATTCCACTCCCCCACAGTGCTCCATATTAATCACACACAGGACAGCATGCGAGATAATGCATTTTTCTTTTCTTCTCCGGGAAGGTCTCAGTGGGAAAAGAGATTTTTTTTTTCCTCCTAGCTCTCACGATTATAATAAGAGGACGAGGACTTCAGCTTATTTTCTCATTAAATGAACAATGCTGCTCTCTTCCTCCAAGGTTCTATTGTGATGTTGTGCCTTCTACCACGAAAATAAATGTATCAAAATTATATTTGAGTACCATGCTAGCACAAAGGGGACTATAATTCAGATTGGACTTCATCCTGCTTTTAAAAGAAATGAGGTACGGACTTTCGTCTGATTTTTAAAAGAAATTAGATAAATCCATGAGCTTCTACATCTCCGGTGGTCCCTTAGTCCTCGGTCCACTGGATAAGTTGATTCTTTCCTTCCTTCTCCACGAAAACATTGATCAAACGGAGTGACATCAACAGTCACTTGTCTTACTTTGCTGCATGGGTCAGGGGTCATGGATGAACTCCCTCTTGGACCTACCTCTGCACCAGGACCATTTTGTCTCGCTCCTACCCATCCCAAGCTTAATAGGCCAGTGGCAGGCTTTCCCAGGAAGGGAAAGCAGGGGGGCTCACCTGTCTGGATGTGACTGTGTGGGTAAGGGTCATGAGCACTTAAATATGAGATCCTTGTCTGCTGGAGACCTCAGCTCCTTCCCATGCCACTGTGTCTTTGATGAGCTTTCCCTGGAGCTGGAGCTGGCACGTTGTGTCTATGCTCAAATGGTTAGGACGCTGAGGAGTGTATCAATCACCACCACCCCATCTTGTCTTCATAGTCTCAATGCAAGAACGAACTGACCAGGCATGAGCTTATGGATTTTGAAAGAGAAATGTCTCCCACCTAAATAGCCTACTAATTATCTCAAGCTGCTCAAGACTTTTTTCTTTTTAAAGGAATGAGATAACACTCTAATTAAACTACAGTGACTTTGGAATCAAACATTCTCAATGACTGGACATGCATTACACAGACAGAATAATACGTGAACTCAATTAACAAGTCAGTGTACATACTTGGCTTCCTACTGGAAGGCTCCCACTGGATTCCAAGGTTCTGAGCCAGGCTCTGTGATAGTACTTGTGCCACTGCCATTGGAAGACCATACTGGTTTTCAGAGTGGAAAGTGCGTGGGGAAACATTTGAGAGAGTGCACAGACACAGTGGTTATTCCTTAATTGTTATCGCTATCATTTCACGTCCATAGTAGAGCTTGACATCAGCTAAAGATGGCATACGCTCTTGAATCATCCTTTCTCAAGCACTGAGCCCAAAGCACTGAGAGAAGGAAGTTTCCACATGGAAACAGAAAATCCAAGTCACCCAGGCTGTGCTCCAACTCAATGTGTGAGCTAAGGATAGACTCCACATCATGCAAATCCGCCCAGAAAGGCTTCCCACTGAACAAGTGGGACCACCTGGTAAAAAGCATATTCTCCAGTGTTGGCCAGGGTTCTGATACAGCTGGTTAAGCTTTGAGGTGCTTTTTTCAACTAAGAATGTTCATAATAAAAGTGCCCAAACAATGATTCTATGAAAACATTTGCTTCCATTCATACCGAACTTAAGGAGAAAATGTAAAAATGAAAATGTACATAGAGAGACAAGCCATAATCTGTAAACTTTTGATTTAAATGAGTTAGTTTTAATATATGCAGGAAAGCACTAAAAACTTTTTAAAACAAGTCATAGGAAAAAGATTGATAAGTTTATAAAAAAAACTTAGCATCTCAGCTACATAGGCCAATTTTCAGGAAATGTCTACACTTGGCGAAACTACCGTGGCGATATCCAAAGCTATCATTAGGAACTTAACGAAGGACTTTGGGCTCTGTTTACTGATCTGTCACTCATGCTACAACCTCAGTGTCACCACTGAAAAATGCACTGTTATACACTGAGCCTTAAAGAACACGATCAGTTGTAACGACAGAATTCTAGTTAAAGAAAGCATGAACCGGCTGGTGGGGGCATACGCTTTTAATCCCAGCACTTAGGAGGCAGAGGCAGGCGGATCTCTGTGCGTCTGAGGCCAGCCACGTCTACAAAGCGAGTTCCAGGACAGCCAAGACTGTTACACAGAGCAACCCTATCTCGGAAAACCAAACCAAAACAAAAAAAAAAAAAAAAACATGAAATTTACCTCATTTACACCAACCCCTCTGATGCGAGAGCACACACCTCCAAAGTAACTGAGGCTGCTTCTCTTATAATGGAATGTCACACGCCTTAGAGAAACAAAGCACAGTTAGGAAACACCACAGAAACGTTCCCAAAACATAGGTATTCTCCCACACCTTGCAGCCTGAAAACCACCCTCAACTGGAAACACAAAACCGTGTTTAAATAGATTTCAGTCTACGCCGTTATGAACACATCGGCTCTTTCCACTAGAGAGCAGCTTATGGCTAATTGTCACAAATTGATCAAGGCTGAGAAAGAAGAGAGAGTAGAAGCAAAAGGTAAGGAAGGAAGGTGTTTGTTTGGCTTGAGGGCAGGACGGGACCACGGAGGCATGTGTGAACACGGCTTTGTCGTGAGAAGGAAAGAGGAAGAGTGGAACGAAGCATAGCCCTCTTCCTGCCGTGACAGACACACAACCGTATTCATTTTCTAGACTTCCTACCGCGAGGTGTGGTCACGTGACTGCGCTCTCGCAAACTGGGTGCCACAGATGCACACAGGCTCGGGAAACAAAAGGAGTTCCCTCTTGCCCTTCTCCCAGCCTGGCAGCCCTGCTGCCTGCAATGAAGGCAACAGTGCCAGAAGCATCTTGGACTGTGATTTGACCTTCCGGATAGAAGCCCTGGATGCTCCGACAGGAGAGCTGGTTGGCCAGAGAACCACAGCACCCCAGCCCTGGAATTCTACCTCTCTGAACAGAGAAAGGGTTCAACAGCAACTTTATAGACGTCACTGCTCCCTGATCTGTAACCTAATTGATACCATAAGGAGATAAAGATAAGTGCCGAGCCGGAACTGCCGTAACAGCCGGAAATAGCACATACGAGATGAGGTGGACCGCGTCGGCATGCTGCTTGATACGCTGCCGGTACTTGGAGAATTCATACAGCATCTGCACAGGGTTGATGGTGATGTCAATCTGATCCTTCTCGGTCCAGGTCTCTACGGCCACCAGGACAACCCTGGTGTTGAGTTGTTCCTTGTAAATCTGAGGGTACAGAACAGGACAGGTGCAGGAGGAAAACACTGGGTCAAACATGCACAATCAGTGAGTGAGTCAGTGGAAAGGAGGAAGGGGGAGGTGAGAGAACATGGGGGTCAGCATTAGCTAGTCATACAACGTCTGCTTTTTCCTTTCTCTTTTCCAAGCACCAAAACCAAGGAGAAAAAAATCACACAATTCAGTATTCTCAACTCTCCTCAAGATTACTTCCGCGCCCCCACCTCAGCATCTTCAGTTGCCTGGCATCTTATGAGAGGGATGCCGGGATGACAAGATTCTCAAGCCAGGACCTGCTCTGACAACGGGGTTCAGCAAAATAACCTTTCCAAACCCCACAGGAGGCAACAAGCCAGAGCCTGACACAGTGACTCTAAGCGCAATATAACCTGCAGGTTTAGGACAGTTCATCAAACGGTACAGCTGCCTTGCCACACAACATAATAACTCTCAGAGTGAATCACGGATCTGAGGCCAAGAGAGGGTGTGTGTGTTGGGGGGGGTGGGGGGGAGACAGATTTACATCGCCAACCTCACCCTCACTGTGGAATGGCATCGCTAACACACAGCATGCTGCTATTCTTCTGTTCTCTCCACTTTGGACCAAATACATAACTTACAGAATTAAGCAACTTCCATGAGAGCTGCCATGTTGTCATACTTTTAAACTAAGAAAACAGATGAACGGTCTTAAAAGGCACCAAATGATGGAATTATCATCAAGTTGACGCTTATAATGGCTTTACACAAAGACGAGTTAAGTGTAACATATTTTTTGCAATGAACGATCAGCTCCAGAACTTTATAAATATAACACAAACTAAAAAATTAAATTTTGCAAAGTAGGAGTCTAGTCAATCATGCAAAAATGACTAACGCTGAGAGATGCTGCCTAATAAATAGCTTTTGCATGGGAAAAGATGTGTTTAAGATTCTCTTTTCCATATCCATCTATGGCTTTCCTCTGAGCAGATTGACAAGAGCTGAAATTAAAGAAAAGTAATAAGGCAGATGTAAACTGGCTCTCAGGGGCTCAACCTTAATTTTATATTACATATTCTATGCACATCAACTCATATTACAATTTTGTCAGCTGTGCCTATGAGGCACATAACATATGCTAGGTGCACAAAATATGTTATGAATATTTACATGATGGGTGGTTTGGGGCTGTTTAAAAGGCAGATCCTCAGAGTGAGTAGCATTTAGATGCTTGGCAATTTATAAAAATGATTTTTTTCCACAGTTAAGAGGGTCCATACAATAAATACAAGATAAAAATATATTTAGCCTAACAAAGTAGCACTTCACAGAAGAATACATAAATTAATTTATGTGAGTCAAATTGAATTATTTATTGGAACATAATGTATGAAATTCAGCTCTGTGGGGTTACTACCTAAGGCAGGAAAGAAGAAGAAAATCTAAACGGTCATTCTTTGGAACTTAGGAAGTGACGGGGAGAGGGGGTGCGAGGGGAAGCAAGTCAATAGTGAAGATATTTAAGGTCAGACCCCCCCTTTGAAGGAAGTAGACATTTCATTGCTTCAAATTATCTTATGTGGCAATGACACCCAATTCTATCACCTAGAATGCTAGAAATCGAGTCTGAAACATTCCACCATGGGAGAACTAAGATAATAAATACATTGCCTTGAAATTTTCATCTATCTAAATTCTCTAAACACATGCTGCCTCAATCCATTAGGACTTCTCGACTTACGCAAAATATTTAGGAAAAGCTCAAGTAGTTATTAATAAAGTCTCATTTGCGGAGGATAATTTCCAGCCTTAAATTCTTCTCCCGTTGCTCTTTATCCCCCATGGACTCTGCTAATAACAGAGGCAATACTATACAATTACTGTGGGTTAATAAAAATTTCTTACTGTTTAAGGAGGTGGCAATGCCAGCTTCTCTTGATTTGCTCATTAGATACCATACACATGTATCGAATTATCACACTGCACCCCACAGATACATAGAATTAAAATGATAATTAATGAAAGTCAATAAGCTTAAGAGAAAGAAACAATGCTAAAGCGTCTTGGGGATTCTGAGAATTCTAAAGGCCAGAATACTTTTTTTTTTTTTTTTTACAAAGCTCACCATCCAACACTTTCTTCACCAGGATATGAATATGTATGGATACGTATGTGAATAAATTTTTTGCTTCATCCGAGAAATAGCTAACGTAATCCGTGAATAGAGAGAAAGAGACATAAACCATGCTTTTTGGATCAATGAAAAGAAGTTTCAAGAAAACCAGGTTACTTACAGAATCCACAAGGTTGACCACAGACTTGGCGAAGTTGTTGGTATGTGCCTGCGAAGAACGGTGCTTCTTATACTGGAGGAGAAAAGAAAACCAGTCACTGTCAAATCCTAATTGACACTAAGTGTCAATTTTTCATATAAGCAGAAAGCTCTGAGAGATTCTAGAAACGTGGATCAAAAGGTCAGAAATTGGTTTGTGCCACACTGGAGATAGTGTTGTTTGTTTGTTTGTTTGTTTGTTTGTTCTTCTTTCCCTACAACCCAAACCCGGGCAGCAAAACTGTAAAACACTCAAGATGTGCCAGGGCCTGAAAGAGCCTACAGAAATACGCATGGAAACTCTGTCCCTAGAAGTCAACTTTTAATTGAGTCTTAACAGCTACCTATTCAGTGCTTTTGCTTTCATAAAAAAATGAATCTTCACCATTTACAAAGATCTTAATCCAAAACCTGGTCTCAAGTGGACAACTTCCTCACTTTTAACTCAAGGTTGTGCACAGGTCAAGACCATTTCTTTTCAGGTAGCCCTTCAGGTACTGTCCATGACAGGAAGTATTTGTCTCGCATTTAGTAAATTCCTCCTGAGGATGCCACTTCTAGAGCAAACCTTTATTCAGGTTGATCAAAGCCAGAGAGGAGCCAAAAAGTCAGAGGAAGTATGCCAAGCAATAATGGCTCTTTATAATTATTTAAAACTTAGCAAAAATCATTCTGTATGTCAATATGTGGGCCTGGCATAGTGACGCACGCCTATCATCCCAGCCCTTGGGAGACTGAGGTAGGAAGATCTCTTGAGCCAAAGAGTTTAAGAACTGCCTGTACAGTATAACAAGGTCCTGTCTCAAGAATAGAGCAAAGCATCTCCGGGCATTCGTCTGGGTTTAGGGGAGGTTTTGTTTTGGTTGTAGTACAGGAGTACAGCCCAAGACTTCATAGTCTACCCCTGTACAGCAAATGTTCTACCATTGTACTCTGCGTCCCCACTAAAGGGCTGTGTTTTTATCAAGGAGTTGGACACTATATTCAACATACGTTGAAGAGGAGAACATTCAAAAGCTCAAGTCAACTGCTCCATGAGGCTACTGTTATTTTTACACCCACAAGGAAAAAAACCGAAAACATGGTTTAAACTAATGATTCTTTTGTACCACATACATCTTTGAAATTTGTCTTCAATTATATTTATTAATTTTATTATTAATAATAAATTATCAGTTATTAATATACAATTTATTGTATCTTCCAGAAAGATTAATAATGCTTAATACATAATAAAAATCTTAATTTTTTCCTCCTCACCTCTGAATACCATGACCGTATGAATTTGGGAACTGTTCCTAATACATGAATTTCAAGAGACATATTGGGACCAGTCCAGGAACTCTGAGCTGTGATTTAGCGGCATCAAATGTGAGCTGCCTATTCAGTATCAAAGCAAAGATGCCGAGTTCCCAGTTAGGTCCCCGAGTATGGAACTCAGAAGTCTAGAGCGCTCAAAGAGGGCTCAGAGATCTTAAGTCGTGATCCTATTTTAAAGACTTGAAACTGGAAGCTGTCAGTCAGGAAGAGAGCATGCAACCCAGCCCTGAGCCAACTCAAGAGGCTGGAGATGGGGAGGAGGCACAGGCCTCATCGGAGGGGTCAGCTATTCAGTCGATAGAACAAACAGCAGAGAGAGAATTCCTGTCTTGGAAACCAGAAGAAAAGAAAGCTGAGAGAGAGAGAGAGAGAGAGAGAGAGAGAGAGAGAGAG